TCTTCTTAGATAGCCAAAATAGAGGAGTGGCACATTTACTTCATTTTGAAAACTTGTGAAAAGTACTGTCCACAATAGATTGTAGTCCAGCTCATGTGTCAGACAACTGTATTGTAGCTTGGAGGTTAGGCAAAGCTGGTACTAAAATTTAAATCATCTATAACCTGCAATGAAAAAAGACTTTCAATTTACCATTGCTACCAATAAACATAATTACACAGTAACAAAAAATAAATCAAAGTTACAAAGAAATCGCATTAAATGAAGTTGATTAAACAATTATTATTGGAAAAAGAAAGAAAAGAATAATGTGGTGCAGTGGTGTCATGGTTAGTGTACTTGGTTCCGGATTGAGCAATCTGGATTTTAGCCCTGGCTGAGGACATTGCATTGTGTTCTTTGGCACGACACTTTACTCTTACAGTGCCTCTCTCCTCCCAGGTGTATAAATGGGTACTGGCCACCTTAATGCTGGGGGTAACCCTGCGATGGACTAGCATCCCATCCAGGTGGGAATAGAAATATTCCTAATTGCTTCATGCTACAGAAACTAAGATAAGCTGCGGGCTGATGGGCCACTTGGCTCGTATGCAGACTCTACTTCTCACCTTTACCAATTCAAAAATAATAAAAAGATATTTCATTATTTTGCAGTTAAGTGCTACGTCTTGTTCTTTTACTAATCATTTACTGTATTTAAATTTAATGCGCTAAAATGTTTAAACATTTTACTTAATTGTGTTGTTAGCAATCTAATTCTATTTCATAACAGTGATGTGTGAGAATTCTTTTTCATGATCTTTTAATTTGTTTAGTTAGTAAATCAGCTTAAAGTAAACCGGATGAAAACAAAAAAAAACAAGAAGATCTTTCAGATCTTATAACTGCGCTTTTAAAATTAAACTGTTTTCTTAGCACTACAATCGCAATGCAGTGTGAGAGTCCCCTTTTTGCGTTTTGAAATCTCTGTGCACTTCATGCTTGGAATGTGGTGGTGCCCTTTGTTATTATAACAGCTGTCCATCGAAAGTCATTTTATTTACGCTAGATGATATAAAACGATGTTTAAAAATAACTTTGAAGTGCAATTTCTGTAATATTTCTTAAGGACATGCACAATATGGTGACAGCAACAACAGATAGAAATTTAATGCTAAATCGCTACAATACATATGAAGTTTCCATGTATCACAGATGACATTGTAAGCTTGT